GGGGGGGGGGCGGGGGGGGGGGGGGGGGGGGGGGGGGGGGGGAGAGGCGGGGGTTAGGAAAGGGGGAGGAGGCGGGATGCAAGTCCGGCTTCTTCTTTTTTTTTTTCGCTGCTCCGCACGTACCTAGCTCGCAGAGTCTGCTCAGGTGATAAGGGTTGCAGCAGGCTAAGTCCAGGTGAGTTTTCCCGTAAGATTCACAGCCACAAAGCCGCTTGACTTCCGAGCCAGGCCGGAGATCGGGCCATCGGAAGATTTTGCAGAGGAGCAGCGGGAGAGAGTACCAATGCTGGCCCAGTTTGGAGTCCACCTTGGTGGGCAGCAGGAGGCACGAAGTCCGGGTGCCCCCGCGGGATTCGACGGCTTGGAGCAGGACCTCCAGGTGCTTCTCCTTCAGCCGCTTCAGCACCAAGTGGGCCAGGGCTTTCAGTTCAGCCTCCGATCCGCCGTGCGCCTTGGCCGCTTTCCCCGCCGGCTTGCCCAGGCAGCAAATCCGGCTCCCGCCTCCTCCGCCGCCGGCCCCATGAGGCCGTCCGTCCGCAGCGCCTTCGGCGACCTCGCCGGCGTTTTCCTCCCCGCCGGGCGCCCGGCTCCGCCAGAGTCTTCGGACGAGCACCGATCGTTTGGTCCTGAACATGCGGGACGAGAAGAAGGTTCCCCGGCTAAAAAACGGGCATGTCGTCCGCAAGTCATGAAGGAGTCGGGAGCCGAGTCCAGGCAGCCAGGAGAAGGAGCCTGAAATGGTCGGGAGGAAGAGGGAACCGGGGGGCTCCGGAGAAGGAGACGGCGCGGCTGCTGCTGGAGCGAGACCCAAAGCGAAGTGCAGCATGCGCCGGTCTCTCTTTAAGCCCAGCCTCGGCTGGGAAGGCTGCGCCGGCCCAGGCTCCCCTTCCCTTCCTCCAAGCCGCCTCCTCGGAGGGCTTCGAGATTATGGAAAGGGGGCGCCGGGAGCAGCAGCAGCAGACCCCCAAACGCAGCGGCGGCGGCGGCGGGGAAGCCCGCGATCCGCCCGCCCGGGGAAAACGGGCATGCCAAACCCGGGGGACGCCTCTGCTCCGGGGGTGGGGTGGTCACCAAAAACCGAAGCGGAGGAGGAGGGGTCCGATTCGCCGCCCGGCGGGGCTTCTCCTCCGGGATCCTTCCCGGTAACCCCCCCTTCCTCCTCCTCCTCAAGCGAGGCTTAGTTAGATCCTCGGCGGCGATCCAGGGAGATCCAAAAACCCGGAGGGGGGGGAGAGGAAGAAAAAAAGAAAACACCCAAGCAAAAAAAGAAAAAAAAAGTCCGAGAGGTCCGAGATCTTGGAGATCGAGGCCAAATCTACCTGTTTCACACCCCCCACCCCAAAAAAAGACAGAGCCCCTGATCGCCCGGTTATCCAACGGCCAGGCTTGTAAAGCGTCTCCGGCCGGAGCCCCCGCCGCCTTAGCAGCCCGTCGGGGTCTCTCCTCCTCCGAGGAAGGCGGGGGTGGGCGCGTGCCCCCTCCTCTTCTTCTTCCTCCTCCTCCTCTTCTTCTTCGGCCCTCGGAAGTCGCCGGCTCCCTCGGGACTCCTTCGCCCGGCCGCTTTGATCTCCCTTCCGACCCGCCGGACGGAGCCGCGGCTTGTTTTGTTTCCTCGCCCGTAGACGGAGAGAGAGAGAGAGAGAGAGAGAGGCGAGGAGAGGCTGGAAGCGCGGCGATCTCCTCCTCCTCCTTCTCCTCTTGCAGTTCTCTCGCTCTCTCCGCCCCTCCGCGCGTCTCCCCGCCGGCAGCCCCAGAAGCAGCAGCAGCAGCAGCAGCAAGAGGAGGAGGAGGAGGCGGGGAAGGCGGAGCGGGGCGTCCAAGGGACCAGGGTCGGGGACGGACCAACTAGGGTCTTGGGCAGCCCTTAGGCAGCGCTGCAGTGCCCGGGCTCAGCTCCTTCTCCTTCCTTCCTTCCCAGCCCAGCGCCGGCTCTCGGCTTAGCTCGCCCTCCTCCTCCTCCTCCTCCGTCCAGTTTGTGCAGACGGGGCGGGGGGGGGGCAGAGGAGGAGGAGAGGGAGGCGCGCGCTCCCGCCCGGCGGAATGGAAGAAGAGGAAGGGTTGCGGGCGTCGAGAGGGGGGGAAAGAAGGGAGGGAAGGAAACCCCCCCTCTCTCCTTTCGCCTGGCCCTTTTTCTTTCCCTCCTCCGCCCTCCCCCCCCTCTTTCCCCACTCCCGACTTTCTGGCTCGCCTTCCTTTCTCCGCTCCTGCCTTCCTCCCCTTTTTCTCCCCCTCCCCACCAAGGTGCTTTGCACGACCACCAGGTCTCTTTTTCTTCTCTCTCTTTCTCTTCCCCCCCTTCCTTTTTTAAAAAAATAAAATAAAATTCCCTCAGGATTTGAGTGGTGGGCGATGCTTGCAATGGAGCAGCCCCTGGTCTTTCTTGCAAGGGGGGGGGGGGCGGCAGGAGGAAGAAACCATTAAGTGGGGCAGAGGGGGGGTTGCTTAGGCGAGTTTTGGGAATTGCAAGGTGGGGGGACAAAAGGGCGCACGGGGGGAGGGGGGGACGCGGACGATTGGCCTCTCTTGCTTGTCTGGCTCCGCACCCAGTCGCCCCACCGGCCGCCCCCTCCCCCCCCAGCCAACCTCGGCCTCTTTTCCTGAGAGCCAGCCCAGGCCGCGCCTTCCCCTCCCCGCCCGTCCGTCTGTCCACCCGTCTGCCTGCCGGGCTCGCTCGCAGACTGTGCAGCGGCGCTCCCCGGCCCCGCCTCCTCCTCCTCCCCCTCCCCCTCGCTCTGGTCACGTGGGCGTCTAGACACCCTGTCGCTTTTTGATTAAAAAAAAAAAAAGAGGCTGTCTTGCGCGAAGACGGCGTCGAGTTTCTGAAAGCTTCCCCCCCCCTCCCCGCCCTCCCTTCCTTGCAATTCCTGAGAAGGCGGAGGGGGAGGGGGCGGGAAGCCGTCGGACTCGGAAAGATTGAAGGAAGAAAAGTCCCTAGGAGAGAGGGAGGGGGAACCCGAAGAGACGCGTATTAAAAGCAGGAATCCCCGAGGGGGTGGGGGCGGGTTCGCTGGTCGTTTCTAGAGTCCAAGGATTTCCAACCTTGGCAATTTTAAGCCTGGAGGACTTCAACTCCCAGAATTCCCCAGCCAGCTACCCAAGTTTGGAGACCTGATGTGGGGAGACCTGGTCCACAGTATCGCCAAGAGTCAGACACAACTAAATGGATACTATCTCTTTTCTTCCTACTCATCTGTAAACCAATATAACAGCTAAAATGTGAGTCTAGGACAAGGGTCTTCAAACTTGACAGTTTTAAGGCTTGTGGACTTCAACTCCCAGAATTCCTCCTCCAGTCATGTTAGCTCAGGAATTCTGGGAGTTGAAGTCCTCCAGGCTTAAAGTTGCCAAGTTTGAAGACCCTTAGTCAAGGACAGGGGTCTCCAACCTTGGCTGGCTGGGGAATTCTGGGAGTTGAAGTCCACAAGTCTTAAAGTTGTCAAGGTTGGAGACCCCTGGTCTGGGAAATCAGGTTCAAATCCACACTGAGCCAAACCCTGCCTCTCTATTTGTGAGGTAAAACTACAGGAGCACCACTTGACCGATAAAGCTATCAAAGATGTGAGAAAGTTATGCCTTTTTTGGTACATTTTCATACATTCATATTTCATATTCCAAGCACAAATGTTTGGGAATAGAAAGTTCCTCAGCAACAAACAGAGATCAAGACAGAAGAACTGGACTGAGAGGAAATAAGCACAAGATGAGATGTAGATCCCTTGAGGTTCCAATGGGAAGTCTCCTTCCCCTACAGAGCTCATCAAAGTAAACCTTGGGTTATCTATTACCAAATAAGTTGGTTCAGGGGTCTTCAAACTTGACAGCTTTAAGGCTTATGGACTTCAACTCCCAGAATTCCTCCTCCAGTTACCTTAGCTCAGGAATTCTGGGAGTTGAAGTCCTCCAAGCTTAAAGTTGACAAGGTTGGAGACCCCTGCACTCTAGACCAGGGGTCACCAACCAGTGGTCTGTGGTGGTCCATGAGAAAATGTTGGTGGTCTGCAGAAAAATTATGTGCATTTTTTATATTGCACTAATGAGCTTAAATGGACTCCAGAGGATGGTATTGGACAGGAAGGCCTGGAGGAACAGTTATCCATTGGGGGCTGCAATGGGTCGTACACGACTTCGCAACTAACAAAAATAATATTGCACTAAATATTATTTATCATTTTTTAAATTCATATTAGTGGTCTGTGGGATTTAAAATTATGAATTTAGTGGTCCCTGAGGTCCGAAAGGTTGGTGACCCCTGTTCTAGACACACACCCCTCAATTTGCTTTGCTTTTCTCCACTTTTTCTTCTGTTAAGAATGTCACGATGGATGAGGTGGGAAAAAAAAACTGAAAAAGTTTTTGCAGAGCCTTGATAACCTTTGAATAAGTCTAATAAAGTCTAATAAATGCGGAAGACTATTTTTTTTTTGTCTTTTATGGCCAGTTGATTTACTTTTTGTTTGTTTGTTTCAAAAAAAACAACAACAGGTTTTGTTCACTTGCTTGATGCGGAAAAGAAAAAAATATTACTGAAACGTATGTTCAGAGGCGAACCAGCAATGGGGTCTCTTGTGGCACCTTGGAAGATGAATCCAAATATTATGGTACGGGGTTTTAAAATTGTAGGCATAACTTCGAATCCGATGCGTGAATCTCTCATCCACTCTGGATCAGGTTGCTGGGGAATTCTGCATGTTGGTGTGAATTCTGGGAGTTGAAGTCCACAGGTCTTAAAGTTGCCAAGGTTGGAGACCCCTGGTTTAGAAATTACCATGCCATATAGAGAGATTGTGGGAATTTGTTCTGGGTTCTGTTAAGTTAACCTGTCCATTTTCCCCCTCCATGCCCTGAAATGGAGCAATTTTTCCCCTTCTTGCAGCAGATGCTTTCACAATCCATTTTGAAATTAATTGTCCCTTCACATCCTGGCAAGTCTTGCTGAGGCCCCAATCCAGTGTTTTTAAAACTTAGTAACTTTAAGACTTCAACTCCCAGAGTTCTCTCAAACTGGCTAAGAATTGAAGAGAATCTTAAAGTTGCCACAATTCTGTCTGGGGAACTCTGGGAGTTGAAGTCCACCCATCCTAAAATGGCCAAGTTTGAAAAGCACTGCCTTAGACCCAGAGCCAAAGAGACAACTTGTGACCCCAGTGCCTCCTTCACCCAGCAAGATGGTAGTATCTCCCCCAAGACTAAAGAGAGTCACGTCGGGTTAGAATTTGATTGGGAGATTATCAGGAAATCCCGGTGTTTCGTTTATTTTTTTATGTTATTTATATTATTAGTTTTACAAATAATTCAAGGCGGTGAATATATGGGACACACCTTCCTCCTCTTATTTAGTAGCCGGAGAAGTTGAACATTCAGGAAAGAAGCAACAAGAAACCACGTATATCTGTGGTTGCTGAGAATGCAATGAGTGCATTTAGGAAGTTGTCAGGATCCCAAATAAGCTTGAAGGACATTGCTGGAAACACTCCTCTGAGTTTTTCACATCCATTTGCCTGTTGAGATATAGAGCAAAGGGATCTAGCTCTTCCTCAGCTTTGTGGCCAACCGATTGCGAGATGGATAGTAGAAGATGGCTGGGAGATCTCTTGCTCAACGTTCTGAGATTGGGTTCTCTCTCCAATTCCATGCCAACCTTCAATTCCAAAGAAGTCTCCTGAGAAACTCTTTCAACAGTCCAATTCAGTCTTCCCATCTTCAGTTCTGAGTTATCCTAGATGTATGTTTAGAACTCAGTGGGAAATGATCTTGTGCTCCATTTGGTCCAGAGCATGGTCTTTGGAGTTCTGACAACACCAAATATAGTCTTAAGGTGTTGGTGATCACCTTAAAAGCCCTTCATGGCATGGGTCCAGATTACTTGAGGGACTGTCTCATCCCACTGGGACTGGCCTGTCCCAACTTTCGCCGTGGAGGAGGCATGCTATGGGTCCCGTCAGCCCGATTCCTCCAGCTGGCAGAGTCCAAGAAGAGGATCTTCTCTGCACTTGGTCTTGCCCTCTGAAATATCTTCCTCTCCAATCTGAGGTTGACTCCAACCCTCCTATTTAGTGGTGGGATTCAAATTTCTTTACTACCAGTTCTGTGGGCGTGGCTTGGTGGGCGTGGCAGGGGAAGGATACTGTAAAATCTCCATTCCCTCCCCACTCCAGGGGAAGGTTACTGCTTAGTAAGGCCACACCTAGAATACTGCATCCAGTTTTGGTCACCACACTATAAAAAAGATGTTGAGACTCTAGAAAAAGTACAGAGAAGAGCAACCAGGATGATGAGGGAACTGGAGGCTAAAACATGAAGAACGGTTGCAGGAACTTGGCCTGGCTAGTCTAGTGAAGGGAAGGACCAGGGAGACATGATAGCAGTCTTCCAATATCTCAGAGGTTCCCAGATATGAGGAAGCTATTTTCTAAAGTGCCTGTAAGGCCAGACAAGGAATAATGGATGGAAACTGAACAAGGAGAGATTTAACCTGAAAATAAGGGGAAATTTTCTGACAGTGAGAACAATCAACCAATGGAACAGAAGTTGCCTCTGATTATCTGTTATCTGTTAAATCCCTTTCCCACCCCACCCTGCTAACCTGCTTTCCAGCCCCGTTCTCCTGTGCAGGGCAACCAAAGAAGACCCAGCCGATCAACTGGGACTCAATGGGAGGCAGAGAAGAGATGGGGGCGGGGCCAGTCAGAGATGGGGTTTGCCGGTTCTCCGAACTACTCAAAATTT